GGCTGAGCAGGCCACAGTACTGGGGACAGTAAGGATATGGTAATCCCACTGTGGTCTGTGGAGTGGGTATGAATGCAAATGAAGGCTGTTCCCTGAAATTGATCTCCGTATTTCGGCTGCAGGGACTTGCTGTTATGGGGAGGTGATTCAGTTTGCCCGGCAAGCCATAACTCATCCCCGTTTTTCACAAAAACAAAAGCGTTTCCTCTCCCGGAAAACTGTCGGGGAGGAAATACCTTCGGGACGCCAGCGGGCCTGGACTGACATTGCTCCTCCCTCTGTCCCTCTCGCTCCCCGCAGTGTCCAAGAAGCTGGCTCCAATCCCTCCCAAGGTGCCCTACGGGCAGTCGGGGGGCATGTCGGACCAGTCCACGGGACAGCCGTCCCCCGTCAGCTTGTCGCCCACCCCGCCCAGCACCCCTTCCCCTTACGGACTCGGCTACAGCCAGGGGTACCCCGGCTTGTCGTCATCGGGGCAGGTGTCCCCGGCGGCGGCTCCCTCCCTCTCCTCTCCCCCTTCCCTCAGCGGCACGCTCACCAAGTCCAGGCCCACCCCGAAGCCTCGCCAGAGGCCCAGCCTCCCACCCCCTCAGCCTCCCGTCACCCCGGGCCTGTCCGGCTCCAGCCCGCAGCCCCTGGATCACAGCCTGCTGGACAGCATGTCTCCTGGGGAGAGCATGTCCACAGGTAAGCACGCCTCGGCTCCCACTGTCTCTTTCTCCGTGTCTCTGCCGGTGTCTTACGGGCCAGCGCGTCCTTCCAGTCTGGGTAGCGGCACTCGAAATAAACTCTTTTCTGCTCTTCCTTTAGCCTCCAGCTCACTGTTCCTGCTTGGTCCGAATGTTCTTAATCTTTAAAGATTCGTTTCAGATGCAGCAGCCTGCGAATAGTACCGTACCATTGACGGGGCTGGCTCCCTTGACCCCCGAGCGTTACGCACAGAGGTTACCTGTGTCGGCGCTGATCCAGATGTGTCATTCTGTCACTTTTCTGGATCCAAGTATTTAAGAGTACACAGAGGCAGGGCTGGTCATCATTGTGAGAAAAATTCAAACACGAGCCAGGGGTGTCACCCTTTTTATCACTAATCATGGGCATCCTAATGTCAGTTTAGGTTCACAGGTTAAAACGACAGTAGTGGTAATCCAGGTATTTGCAAGTAACTGCCTGTTTGACATCTGCAGTGTACCACAGACAGGAATCATTACTGTGTTCGTTGCTCATTCAGAACAGTGATGTTTTAAGGGAGTGTGTATTTTGAGAAGTTTAATGTACTAGAAAGACAGAGATTAATCCTCCCCCCCCACAGTTTGAGTTCTGCTTGCCTCTCTCCAGCAAAAAGCTGACAAGTTCTTAATTCTCTTCATCTGATATCTTCAAAAAGAAGCATTAACTGCTCCCAGTATGAAAATGCTTCATGGCATTGTGTTACACACTTCTGTTGTATTTTTATTCAAGAGATTTCTATAGCATCAATACACACTTAGCGTGTTCTGAGATTTTTGGGTGTGATTCTTTACATATAATTGTAAGTCTACTGTAGAGGTAAGACCAAATTGTGTCCTGCAGAAGGATTGTTAAAACACTCTGGATGTCAGGT